CTAGCTAAAAAATATGTGCTTATGTAGAAGATAATAGTAATCCATCAACAAAACTCAGTAAGAATGTGAAAAGGTCTGCCCAAGTCATAGCCTATTAAAAGCAGATAAATATTCCTTCTGTGAATAATATAATTCAGAAAATGTAAACACATGCCCTAGTTTGGGAAATGTAACAAGTGATACTTTGAGAAACAGACTAGCAGTTTCCCAAAAGAAATAAAAATATACATCTACACAAAGACTTGCAAGTGAATGTTAATAGCCATTTTATTAGTAATAGCCAAAAATAGGAAACAACCCAAAACAAGAGGATGAAAGACTATGATATGATCCATACACTGGAATACTACTCAGCAATAAAAATGAACACTGATACACACAAAAACATGAATGAATCTCTAAACCATAGTGCTAAGTTAAAGAAGCCAAACATAAAGAGTATATACTATGTGATTTCACTTACATACTGTTCTAGAAAATGTAAACTATAGTGACAGAAAGTACATCAGTGGTTGTCTGGGGATAGGAATGAAGGGAAAGATGGATTACAAAAGGACATAAGAACTTCTTTGGGAGTGATGGAAACATTAGTTAGGTAACTTGCTTGTGGTGGTGGTTTCACAGGTGAATACATCTATCAAAATTCATCAAATTGTACATCTGAAACATGTGTTTTAGTTCACTGTACAGAAATTATACCACAATAAAGTTTTCTTTAGAATTTAAATCTAGGAAAAAATACATACTCTATCTCAGATATTAAAATGTATTTTAAAGTTACAATAATCAATCAAAATTATAACTGTATTAGAATAAAGAGAAATCAACAAAATACAAACAGACCCAAGCATGTAGAAGCATTTCATCTAGAATAAATGTGGCATTCCAAATCACTGGATTATTCAAGTTGAAAAAAGTATTTACAACATATGACAAAAGACTAATATGCTTATTATTTTACAAATCAATATGAAAAGAGATACTTTAAATGACAAATAGGTTGAGGGTTCTTAAAGTAAGAACTACAAATGACCAATTAATATTAGTAAAATGTCCAACTTTCCTGTAATGATGTAAGTGCAATTTTTAAAAAGATTCTTATTCCTAACTTATTAAATTGGCAATATTTTAAAATTATAATATTCAACGTTAGATTGAGAGGAGAGATGACTTGAGAGTTCTTGAGGCTAAATCAGTGAAACTGTTCTGGAGGAAAATTAGCAAAATATGTCAAAAATTCTAAAAAGCATAAACCCTTTGGCCCACTATTCACACTTCTAGGAACTTATCCTAAGCAAATAATACAACAAGTTCATAAAGACATATAAAAGATGTTCACTGTAGCACCTTTACCAACAGTGAGGGAAAAAACCTGAAAACAAATGTCCAAAATTTCAAGATCAGTTAAATAAACTATAGTATAGTCTTACAATGAAACACTAGGCAACCATTGAAAATTATGATATAGTTCCATATTTATTGCCATAATAGTATGCTTATTATATACTGCTAAGTGAAAATAAACAGGTTACACAGTAGTGTATAAAGTGTGACACTTTTTAAAAAGCAAAATTTTCTATGCATATATTTGGCTGGAAAAAATCTAGAAGTATATAAACCAAAATATTAATAGCAATTTTTCTTGGATTGTAGGGACTGGAAAAATCTTAACTTCTCCTTTCTGTTTATCAAGCATTTCTACTTTTTCTATAATTATTATGTATTCTTTGTATAATCAAAACTATAATGAAAAAAATTAAAGTGAAAATGTAGTACACAAATCTGATCCTTTAATAAACTAGTTCTCTCCAGGTACCAATGAAATAACTTCCTTCAATAATAGTCTTTAGATGTTACCTCTCATTTGTTTAGGTTTATTTAAATAACAGCTATAATAATTAACACTAACAACAGTTGTTGACAGTTTATTCAAGGCCACCTGCTAAGAACATTTCTGCAATTAACTCATTTATCATTCATTCCCCCAAAATCAGTATTGGCAATGTTGTTTTACAGCCCAGTAAACTGAGGCACAGAGATTAAGTGACTTCCCCAAGTTTACAGAGCTTATTAGTGACAGAGCTGAGTTTTGAAGGTAGTTAATGTGAATCCAGAGCCTCTTCTTATAAACACTACACTATACTTGCTTCGAAATTTAGGTAACCATTTTTTAAAGGGCTATACATTAGAAATAAGATAATTTAGTTGATCCTGAAAAAGAAAACCAGCTGGAAAGAATATAAATAGAAAACAGGTAGAAGTAAGTAATTCTCTTACCTTTTGAATTCTGTACTAAGAATGCTAGCATATTTATTATATTGTTCAAAATGAAATTTGAAATTTAAACTAATTTAAGAGTGCTACACATGTTTTTGTTTTCTCCAACTCAAGGTGAATTTTGGCACTGGTGTATGCTCAAGCAATATTAAAACTGCAGCTGCCAATGGCTTGTGTATACCTTAGGACACCACTGTACAAGGAACAGAACCCTTGGGTAGCCTGTTAGGAAGATTGGCTGTTAAGAGGTGGTAATAAACATAGTAAGTCTTAAGAATTTTTCCAGTTTATCTCTATTTATCAATAAAGTTGGGATAAACTAAAAATAATGGACAGGATTACCCTAGGGGGCTTTCAGTTCTAAGGGTCTATGACTTTTAATTTCTCTGAACTAAAGATATAAAGACAGAGGAAAACAACGACTTTTAACAGATAACATTACTTCACAAATCATTTTGGAATTGCATTAAAGTAATATCCCCAAACTGTATTATAATTTTTGCAAATTTCCCAGAAATAAATCCTTAAACTCTAAACATACGTGAACTATATCTGCCAACAATCCATTTAGCTTTGGGTATTTTTTTCTTGGACTTTTGGGGTGTTGGACTTGAGGAAGGACTACCCCAGTAAAAATGGGACTCTTGGAAAAGATACTCTGCAAGTGAGGTGTCAAATTGCCTGAAAAGAGAGGAAAAAAAATATATATATAGATAAAAGAAAACAAGGAGATTATTCTACAATCAAAATAATCAAATTGCTATATGGTCTGCATTAAATTACTAAAAAGGTAGAATAACAGTTAAGTTCTTTTAATTTTTAAAGTTGAACAAAGAACTATGTGAATACAGCATAAAAAATTTGAGCTTTTCCCCAGCAATCTGTCAATAGCACAGAGGCAGTAGAGAACTTAAAACCACCAGGTTCATTTTCTTTTCCCAAAATATAAGACAGAATGTATAATGTTATCAGAAAAAGGACATTCAAACTTTTACATATTCCCATATGAGTATCTAAATGGTTTAACTACCAAATGTTTATCAGCAAAGTCTTACTCAGAACAGCTAAAATATTAAAATTATTTAGAAACAGAAATACTGCAAAGAAGAAACAGGGCTATAGAATAGTAATAAAATAGAAAGAACTATAAATAGAAATGGAGAGAGTTTTGATATAACTAGTTCTGTGACCTTGGGCAAATTTTCCTTTTCTGTGCCTCGATCTCCCCATCTGTAAAATGACAAAATTGATCCCATCACCTTCAGGGTTCCTTCTAAAGGAGGTTAACCTCATAACCAGAACTTTAAAGATGACACAAAAAAGTATGATGTTCTAAGATAGATAGATAGATAGATAGATAGATAGATAGATAGATAGATCGATCTCACTAAGCAAGGCTAACCATGAAAATGTTTGGGTAGTCAAAGCAGATCATCAAATAATTCAGCTATCATCAAATATATTTTTGAATAAGTTATTTAGCTATCTGCTTATATACTGTGGTTAAAAAAAGTTTTCTCAGTAAATAATTGGTTTTTTATTTCCAAGTGCTTCAAAAAATCTTTAAATCAACTCTATTATTTAGAACTCCTCTTTGAGAGAAGTAAACATTTGCAGAAGACAAAGTTTTAAAATTGTGAGGCAAATTGAAGTAGGTTTCTATTTTACTATTTTTCTTTGTATTGACCATCAACATATAACATAGATATTTGCATCAGGGAAAAGAAAAATATTACTTGTAAAATCAGAGGAGAATTTTCTACCTTCTTTATCAGCCTCAGGCATTCATCTACAATCATTTATCAAAACAATATTATTTACCGTTCTTTTGAAGAAAAAACTAAATTTGAAAATCAAGAAGAATTGATCTGGAACTATTTATTCGAGCCATTTAACAGTATATTTTAGTAATACCTACCTACTTTTAAAACAATTTTATGAAGTAAATCCAAATCAGAGCTGCTAGGAAGATAGGGATTTCCAGTGGCCATCTCAATGATCATACAGCCCAAAGCCCAGATATCCACAGGTCTGAAACAGACAAGAATATATCATTTTTTCATAAAGAAATACATAAAATATCTTTTTTTTTATATGTTTAAAATAAAGTTAAGGCTAAAGAAAAAAGACTGGTTAAGTGGTATTATTTATACATTTTCACTGTAACAAATGGCAACTTTAAAATATATATTAAATATTATCATGTTTTATTAATAATGTTAAATAGCTTATATTTATTTTATATGTGTGTGTCCTTATATTTAAACTGAACGAGAAGCCATGTAGCAGTCCAAAAAAATTTACTGTCTAATTCTAAAATTATCCCAAATACTTACATAAGGACATTATGATAGTTTATGAATTAGATAAGCTGAATACTAAAATCATCTAGTAGTGAAAAAGTAAAAATTAAAAATCTTAAATATTTTACCCCTTACACTCATTTATTTATCTTAATGCATTATAAGTCATCCATAAATAAGGCTTTTCCCCCTCACATAATCAGTTTTTTAAAAGCTTATATCCCTGGGGCTTTTAAATAGATAAAAAGATACCCAACATTACATTCAGAAGAAATTACAAATAAACACCACAATAAGATCTCTTTTTCACTGATCCAACTGATGAAAATTATAAAATTTGATAACTACTGTGTTGGTGAGGCTATGGAAAATGGATACTCACATGTATTGATCTGGGAGTGTAAACTCACACAACTTTTTGGGAGGAAAATTGGCAAAAGCTACCAAAATTTACAATGTACATACTTTTGACCAAACACCTTTATTCTGAAGAATTTATCCAGAGATCTACTCACACATGGGCACAAAGAGAAATTATATGAGAATTTCACTGCAGCATTGTTTGTGGTAGAAAAGACTGGAAACAATCTAAATATCCATCAATACAGGAATAGCTATGTTAATTTTTGAACAACCACACAATGAAATATTATCCAGCTGTTAAAAAGAATGAGGTAGGTCTACCTGTATGCATTAATATAAAGTGATCTCCAAGATAAGCTCTCAAAAGAAAAAAGCAAGATTCGTTACAGAAATCAAAGAAGACATAAATAAATGGAGAGTCCAAGTTCATGGATTGCAATATTAAACACTGTCAAAATGTCAGTTCTTTCCAAGTTGATCTACAGATTCAATGAAATCCTAATCAAAATCCAATCTGGATAGCAATAAATTGATTCTAAAGTTTATATGGAAAAGCAATAGAACCAGAAAAGCCAACATAATGTTGAAGAAGAACAGTCAGAGGAAAGATATCACCTGACTTCAAAACATACTATAAAGCTAAGGTAAGCAAGGCAGTATGATATTGGTGGAAAAACAGACAAAGAGATCAAGAGAACAAAATAAAGTGCCCAGAAATAGACTCAAAGAAATATACTCAACTGACCTTTGACAATGAGCAAAGGCAATTCAGGATAGAAGGGGAAGTCATTTCAATAAATGATACTGGAACAACTGTAAATCCATGTGTAAAAAGAAATGAAACTAGACACAGACCTTACACCTTTCACAAAAAATTAACTCAAAATGGATCAGAGACCTAAATGTAATATACAAAACTATAAAACTTCTAGATAATAATGTAAGAGAAAATCTAGATGACCATGTGATTGGTGGTGAGTTTTTAGATGGCAACATTGAAAGCATAATCCACAAAAGAAAAAAATGGGTAAGTTAGTACATCATTAAAATTTAAATCTTCTGCTCTGGGAAAGACACTATTAAAAGAATGAAAAGAGGAGCCACAGAGTTGGAGAAAATATTTGCAAAACACACGTCTGATAAATGACTTGTGTCCAAAATAAACAAAGCACTCTTAAAACTCAACAGTAAGAAAACAAATAAAAACTCAAATTAAAAATTGGGCAAAATATCTGAAAAGACTCACCAAAGAAGATATACACATGTCAAATAAGCATATGAAAGCATGCTCAATATCATATGTAACCAGGGAATTGTAAATTAAAGTACTAATGAGATAGATACACCATACACCTATTGGAATGGCTAAAATCTAAAACACTGAAACAGCAAATGCTGGTAAGAATGTTGGAACAACAGGAACTCTCATTTATTGCTGGCGGGAATGCAAAATGATACAGACACTTTGGAAGACAACGTCTAACAAAGCTAAATATAGTCCTACCAAACAATCCAGCCATAATTGCACTCCTTGGTATTTAGCTAAATGAGTCGAAAAATTTATGTCTACAAAAAACCTGCACATGAATGTTTATAACAGCTTGATCCATAATTGCGAAAAACTTATCTAAGTGAAGTGAGCCAGAAAGAGAAAGAAAAATACCATATGATATCACTTATATGTGGAATCTAAAGAAAAAAATACAAACGAACTTATTTACAAAACAGAAACAGACTCACAGACATAGAAAACAAACTTATGGTAACAAGGCAGGGAAGGGGGTGGGAAGGGATAAATTGAGAGTTCAAGATTTGCAGATACTAACCAACATATATAAAATAGATAAACAAGTTTATACTGTATAGCACAGGGAACTATATTCAATATCTTGTAGTAACTTATAATGAAAAAGAATATTAAATGAAAAAATTATTCTACAAATATAAAGCATATGCTTATAAATAAAAAAGATGTCATTTATTAGCTGAATGTAGAAACAAACTGCCAGACATACATACAATGGAATATTATTTAGTGATCAAAAGAAATAGCTATTGAGCCATAAAAATACCCAAGAAGGAACCTTAAATATACATTACTAAGTGAAAGAAGCTAGTCTGAAAAGGTAACATAATGTATGATTCCAACTACATGACATTCTGGAAAAGGCAAGAGTATAGAGAGATTTAAAAGATCAGTGGTTGCCAGGGGTTCAGGGAAAAGGAGGGGAAGACTAAAAGTAGAGCACATAGGATTTTTTTGGGCTTTGAAACTATTCTGTATGATACTGTAAGGGTATATATATGACATTATACATTAGTCAAGCCCCACAGGAAATACAACATAGAGAATAAATATTAATGTAAACTATGGACTTTAATTAATGATAATATATAAATATTGGTTTATCATTTCTAACAAATGTACCAAACTAATCTTAGATATTAATAATAGAGAAACTGTGCTGTTGGGGGGGATAGAGGAGATATATGGGAACCCTGTACTTTCTGTTCAATTTTTCTTTAAACCAAAAATTGCTCTTAAAAAGTAAAATACATTAATTTCAAAAGTTAAGAGAAAAAAGCAAGATTCTGTGCAATATATATAGTATATTCCTATTTCTTTTTAAAAGGAAGGAAGTGTGTGTGTATATATGTCTGTGTGTATTGCCAGAAAATGATTTTAAGGCATAAATGACTTAATGTATACAATTTTTCCAGTCCACATTACAACAAAAACTGGATAATATAATAGGAATAAGCTTGCTTATTTCACAAAAAAGACATGAGACACACAAGTAAAGTAAAACAGCAGGTGTAAATCCAACAATATCACTAATAACATAGTGTGAATAGATTAAGCAATCTACTCAAAAGGCAGCGATTGTAAGCCTGAATTTAAAAAAAACATAATTCAACTATATGCTATTTACAGGAGACACATTTTATATTCCAATATAGAAACAGATTAAAAGTAAAAGGAATGAAAAAGATATATCAAGCAAACAACAACCACAAGAAAGCCGGACAAAATAGAGTTCAAAAAGAAAATGTTACTAGAGATAATGTTATAATGATAAAAGGATCAATTCATCAGAAAGTTATAACAATTATAAACATGTCTAGAACAACTAGACAGATCAACAAAGAAATAGAACAACACTAAAAACCAATTAGACCTAATAGACATCTATAGACTACTTCATCCAACAACATAATATACATTGTCTTAAGTCACATGGAACATTCTCCAAGATAGGACCATATGGTAGGCCATAAAGAAACCTCAATAACGTTAAAAGGACAGAAATGATACAAAGTATTTCTTCTATCACAATTGAATACAATTACATATAAGTAGGAAGGAAATCTGGAGGAAATTAAACAACATACTACTCAATAACAAATGTATCAAAGAAGAAATCAAAAGGGGAAACAGAAAATAATTTGAGATGAATGAAAATGAAGATACATAACATTTATGGGATGCAGGTAAAGCAGTACTTAGAAATTTGTAACTGTAAATGCTTAAATGCCTATATTAAGAATTAAGACAGATGTAAAACCTAACCTTCCACCATAAGACACTGGAAAAAGAAGAGCAAACTAAAACTACAGCAAGCAGAAAGAAGGAAATAATAAAGATTAGAGTGAAAATGTAATAGAGAATTTTTTAAATAGAGAAAAAGCAATGAAACAAAAAGCTGGTTCTTTTTAAAAATCAACAAAATGGACATTTAGCTAGAATGATTAAGAAAAAAAGAGCAAAGACTCAAACTGTTAGAGTCAGAAATTAAAGAAGTAATACTTCTACCAACTTTACGAAAATAAAAAGTATTATCAAAAAATACAATGAGTAATTGTACACCAACATATTAGATAGTTTAAAGGACAGTTACTGAAAAAAACACAAATTGCTAAAGTTGGTCAAGAAGAAATAAGACAATCTAACTAAATGTATAGCATGTGAAAATTCTAAAATAATAACCGAAAAACTATACATAAAGGAAAGCCCAGGCCCAGATGGCTTCACAACTGAATGCTGCCAAACATTTAAAGAAGAATTAATGCCAATTATTCATAAACACTTTCAAAAAATAGAAGAGGAATGAATGCTTCCCAACTCCTTTTAGACACCAGTATTACCCTGATATCAAAATCAGACAAAAACATCACTAGAAAAGAAAACTGCACACCAATATCTCTTATAAATACGGATACAAAAATTCTCAACAAAACACTAGCAATATGAATCCAGTAGCACATAAAAAGAATTACACACCATGATCAAGTGGGATTAATCCCAGGAACACAGGTTAATTCAACATGTAAAAATCAATTAATGTAATACATTATATCAATAGATTTAAAAAACAAATTTAATATAATCATCTCAATGTATTTGACCAACATTCTTTCATGATAAAAACCCTGAATAAACTAGAAATTAGAAGAAAACTTTGTCAATCTGATAAAGGGCATCAATGAAAAACCCACAGCATACTTTGTAGTAAAAGATTAGATGTTTTTCCCCTAAGACTATGACTAAGACAAGAATGTCTGCTCTCACTTCTATTCAACACTGTGCTGGAGATTCTGGCCAAAGAAACCATGCAGGAAAAAGAAAGAACATGCATACCAGAAAAGAAGTAAAATTATCTCTATTCACAGATAACATGATTTTGTATACAGAAAGTCCTATGAAATCCACTGAACAATTATTAAAATTAATAAATTCAGCCAGGTTGCAGGACAAAAGATCAATATATAAAAATCAGTTGTATTTTTTTACACTTGTAATAGACAATCTGAAAATGAAACTAAGAAAATTTGATTCACAATAGCATCAATAAGAATAAAATACTTAGGACTAAATTTAACAAAAAGTGTAAAAATATGCTGTGAAAGCTACAAAAAACACTGTTGAAAGAAATCAAAGATCTAAATAAACAGAAAAACGTCTAATATTCATAGATTAGCAGCCTTAACATTGTTAAGATGGCAATATTGTCCAAAGTGATTTACAGATATACAATCCCTATCAGAATTCTAGCTGTCTTTTTAGCAAAACAACAACAAAACCAACAACAACAATAACAAATCAAATCTGATCTTAAAATTTACATGGAATTGCAAGAGACCCAGAACAGCCAAAACAACCTTAGAAAAACAAAGCTGTGGGACTCACACGTCCCAATTTCAAAATAGCTACAAAGTAGTGGTCATCAAGACACTGTAGCTCTGGAACAAGGATAGCCATACAGATCAGTGGAATAGAACTGGAAGTCCAGAAATAAACACATCTATGGTCAACTGATTTTCAACAAAGGTGCCAAGACCATTCAATGAGGGAAAAAAATAATCTCTTCAACAAATGGTGCTGGGACAACTGGCCAGCTACATGCAAAAGAATGAAGTTAGATCCTTACCTTACATCATATACAAAAATTAACTCAAAATAGATGGAAGACTTAAGTGTAAGAACTAAAACTATTAAACTAAGAAGAAAATAGAAGAGTAAATCTTAACAACCTTGGATTTGGCAAAGGATTCTTAAAATATGACACCAAAAGCACAGGCAACAAATTTAAAAAATAGATAAACTGGACTTCATCAAAATTAAAAACTTTTGTGTGTCAAATGACACCATCAAGAAAATGAAGAGACAACCTACAAGAATGAGAGAAAATATTTGCAAATATATACTCTGATAAGGAATTTGTACCTAGAGTACACTAAAAATTCTTACGGCTTAGTAATAAAAGGCCAATCCAATTTTAAAATAGTCTAAGAACAGGTATTTCTCCAAGGAAGATACATAAGTGGCCAACAAGCACATGAAAACATGCTCAGCAATCATTAATCATCAAGGAAATGCAAATCAAACCAACAATGAGATACCACTTCACATCCACGAGGATGACTAGAATCCAAACGTCAGATAACAAGTGTTAGTGAGGATGTGGAGAAATTTGTAAACTTCTTACTCTGCTGGTGGGAAAATAAAATGATGCAGACATTTTGGAAAACAGTCTGACACTGCCTCAAAAGATTAAACACAGAGTTATAATTTCAACTCCTAGGTACACATCCAAAAGAAATGAAGACATATGTCCACACTAAAATGTGTATACAAATGTTCACAGCAGTATTACTCATAATAGCCAAAAAGTGGAAACAATCAAAATGTCCATCAACTAATGAATGGGTAAATAAAATGTGGTATATCCATAAAATGGATATTATTCAGCCAAAAAAAAAATGAAGTACTGATACATGCTACAACATGGATGAATCTTGAAAACAATATGCTAAGAGAGAGGTATCAGTTCCAAAGGACCAGATATTGCATAATTCTATATATATGAAATGTCCAGAATAGGCAAATCCAGAGAAAATGAAAGTAGATTGGTGACTGCCTAGGCCTGGAGGGCTTGGGAGGAAGGCAAGTGACTGCTAATGGGTACAAGGTTTCTTTTGGGGGTGATAAAAACGTTCTCAAATTGAATGTGGTAATGTCTGCACAACTCTGTAAATAATAACTAAAGACCACTGAATTGTATACTTTAAATGTGCGAATTGTATGGTATGTGAATCATATTTCCAAAAAAGATATCATAAAAAAGGCTAGACTACACTAAGTAGATAAATTTTTGAGTGACAAAACTATTAAAAACGCAAGGAACTAATTATAATAAAAGTCAATATCAGTTACTTTTGAGGGAATAGAGTACTGTAATTGGAATAGACATGGAAGGTCTTCTGGGGTGGCCAGCAAAATTCTAATTTTCAACCTGGTGGTGGAGCTATATATTTATCGTGTGAGCTTTTCCTGTATCTGTATTTTGTTTTACAATAAAAAGATGTTTTAAAAACTCACTAGCAAATTTATTTCAAACACAATGTGAAGCCTCGTAGAATCCAAAGTGATCATATATAAGACATCAATTTTGGCTCTGTGGAATACAAGAGATTACACCCATCCTCAAGGAACTTATCTTTCAGCAAGTATATTAAAAAAGAGCTAGATAGAATGAGATCATATTAAATATTAACGGTCACAAAATTTACAGATAATATACAAAACAGTTTAGAAGAGGATATGATTGGGGGCAAAGGATAGGAGTCAGGGGGTACACCAGAAAAGGCATTTAAGTACATCACAAGCAGAGGGTAGAACTGACAGAGATCTTATGAAGACTACATTGAGCATTTACCAAATTTCCTTTTTTTCATTCATTAAATCATGTAATCCTTACAACAAACCTATGAAGCTGGTTCCATTATTATTTCCTTTATACACATAAAGTAACTGAAGCACAGAGGTGATCTACATAGGGCATCAGTGGTAAAAGAACAGTAGAAAAGGTACCCAGGACTGACTTCAGGCAAATTAGTTTACCTTTCTTAGTGTCTTAGACTCTATCTGCCTTAGTGTCCTTATTTAAAATGGGGATGATAATAGTAGCATCTCCATCACAGGGTCGTTGTGAAAAACAGACAATTTAATACATATAAAGCATTGAGAACAGTTTCTAGCAGGAAGTAAGAACTTATTAATGTTAGATATTATTATAATATCAGAATAATGGTTTCTAGGAAAAGCATGTGAGAACATTCCCTCCCCCTATTTCTTGTATTACGTTGTACAATTTGGTCCCTTTATGTTCTTCAAGATTCATTATTTGTATATTAGATTGCTGTTTCATATACTGTTTCACAATAGATAGATTCATACTACTTTTTGAGGCATCTAGAACAGTACAGTTCTAAAATTATTATTTGCTAGTCTTTGCAAAGACGGTGCCATATTCAGGAAATAGGAAATTTGGCAGTTCCTGTGGAAACACAGGCAGAGCACACTAAATGATTTTTAAATCTTTGTAGAATGTAAAGGTTACAGAGAAGCAGAGGAGGCCACTCTCTTAAGGGTTGGGTTCAGTCTAAAGTGAGCACAGCCTGAGGAATGTCTGCATAGGCCTTCTAGGGCTGGGGCCACGCAGGCCCAGAGGGCAAGCGTAGTAACATCAATAGCCAGCAGGGCAGGCGCCGAGGGTCTCTCTGTTCTACTTTGAGGTGTCCTTTTTCTCGCCCCAACCCAGATGCAGAAGGTAGAGGATGTCAGCAGTAGGGGTGAAAGATACACCAAGGGAAAAAAGAGATGGCTAGGAAAGGCCAGTGAGGATCCCCAAATATACATACTTTCCGTAAGAGGTGTCTTTTAATACTAATTCTGGAGCTCTATACCAGCGTGTGGCCACATAGTCCGTATAAACGTCTCCAGGAGCTGCTAGAGTTCGTGCAAAACCAAAATCACAGAGTTTAGTAATTCCTGACTGGGATACTAAAATATTCTCAGGTTTTATATCTCGATGAATGATCTAAAAAAAAAACAGAAGATGCAATATATTAAAATAAGGCTTAATTATCTAGAGAATCTCTCAACAATTACACAGAAGAAAGCTAGCTAATTAAGACAGTAAAGCTATTTTCTTACCACAGTCAAAGGATTAATTACACAACGCAAAAGCTACATAGTCACATACTTTCAATTCTTGCCCCATCCATCATTTCAAAATGAAGCCAAGAAAATAGACATAATACTAAAAAGGTAAACCACATTCCTAAAAGGAAAAGCAATCACAAGAACTTAATGGAAAAAGTTTATATTTCTTTATCTCATGTCACACTCTACGTACTGCCCTTTCTCTCATTTCCTTCATACCTAAACTTCTTGAAGATATTAACTTCATTTAGTCTTCACTTTAGGACCACTCATTCACTCCTCAGGATAAAGCAATCTGTCTTCTCCCACATTCCATTAACCTGCCCTAGCCAAAGTCATCAACAACCTCATTGCTGCTACATCCAATAACCATCCTTCAATACATATCTTACTTGATATCTCAGTGTAAAAATGTTGGCAACCAATCCTCCACTCCTGATTTCTGGGACCTAAAATTTCCCAGTCTCCTTCTAGGGCAGTTCCTTTCTCTCTGTATGTCCCTTAAACATAGGGTTCTAGCCTTAGGCTTTCTCTACTCATATGTCTTGTTTCCTGCACAATTTCATCTATTTTTAAATTTGTTTAGCACTTTCTTCACTTGGTTATGGGGACATTATATTCTCTTGGGCTTCTTCCCACTTACTGGCTATTCTATCTCAATCTCATCTACTCTTACAGTCTTAGTAACTATCCATATACTAATGATTTCCAAAGTTCTGTCTCTAACCAAGATCTCTCTCCCAGTTTCCACAAGGAGTGGAAATCCACAAGAAGTCCCACAATATTGACTCACCCCCACCCCTGAACTCGGCAAATCCAAAACTAAATGCATAATTTTCTCCCCCAAACCTATTTGTTGTTAACAGTTCTTTAGGTCAGTGAATGAAACCAACATTGATCCCATGGCTCAAGCCAGAAATTAAGGCATTTTTCTCCCACAAGTCCCATAATCTCTCAACCTGTCTACTTCTCTCCCTAGTTGAAGTTCCCTCAGCTCTCTCACCAAAATTACTACATTAGCAAATAGTCTCCCTGAATTCACTCTGATCCCCTCCAATCCACTATCCACAATGAAATCACAGTGCTATTTTAAAATCACATGTATGATCATGGCATTCTTCTGCTTAACATCGTTCAAAGATTCTTAATCCCACAGGACAAATTTGAAACTCCTTAAAATGGCTGGTAAGGCCTTATAGGATTTGACCCCTGCTTACCTTTTCAATCTCTGTCCCCTAGCCTACAGAATATTACTTTCCCAATTTTATAGGTCTCATCAGTTTTTGCATTTGCTGATGCTGTTCCAACTGCCTAGAACACTTCACCCGGCCAGCTGTTTCCTCAGGTCTCAGCTGAGATGTTTGTATTAAGATGTTCCTTCTATAAGTTCTCACAGCATTCTTCACTTCCTCCATCATGATATTTCTCATCTTTATTATTAATTGCCTATTTACTTGTTTGTCACTCCCACTAGACTATAAATTCCATGAGGGCAAGATATATGTCTATCATTTTTAACCTATATCCCTAGTGTGCAGTACAGTGCCTAAAACAAAGAAGGCATTTTAAAAGTTTATCACATGAATTCAGCATATTCTCATCACCAGCAAAGTATCACAGCATGAGTGAAAATATCTCATTGACAGAAATCTGGGGTCTTTCCTTTTTTATACAATTTATTGCTATAAGCCTTTAGGACTGCCTCTCGTTCTGCCTCAGTCTCCCACCATAAATGGCCAAAAAATTAACTAAGGGTAATGAATCACCTTAATAATGCCATCCATAAAACTGTATTAGTCCTTTTTTACTTTCACAACTTTTACTGATTGATTACTAGATGCCAGGCAATATACCAAGATCCGAGGATACAATGTGAGCAAAAGTAAACATGGAAAAGCACATTAAGATACCACTTCATACAGTCTGCCTACCACACAACCATCACCGTCCTCCTCAGTGCTCTAAACATGGGGGAGAAAGATCCACTCAGCTGATATCCTAATATTCTCACTCCTTTCAACAACTAACACCACGACTACATGCAGAATTTTGTTATCCTTCAGAACCAAGTAACCTCTGAATCCCAATTTTTAAAATTCTATGTTTTGACAACATCCTCTTTGGTCTTCCACTATCACCTTGAGATCTCTATAAACACAGTATTTCTTTCCATTGGCTTAGATCTTCTTTAATTTCTCTCATTATTGGTTAACAGTTTTCAGTGTATAGGTTTTATACATCTTTTATCAAGTTTTCTCTTAGTAGTTCACATTTTTGATGCTATTATAACAGTATTTTTAATTTCAATTTCTGATTGTTGCTAATACATGGAAATACAATCAATTTTCACATACTGATCTTGTATTCAACAATCTTGATAAACTTACAAATTAGATCTGTTAACTTTGTTGTAGATTCCACAGAATTTTCTACAGAGATGGTCATCTGTGAATAAATATGGTTTCACTACTCAAAAAAAAAAGATCACTTCACACCCACTAGAATAGCTATAATCAAAAGAAAACAACAAATATTGGGTGGATGTGGAAACACTGGTATTCACTGTTGGTAGGGATGTAAAATGGTATAGCCACTTTGGAAAAACAGTTTGGTAGTTTCTTGAAAAAGTTAAAACATAAACTAACCATGCGATCCAGTGGTATTCTTAACTTGCTCTATTTCTATTCCCCTCTCCCTAGCTCCTGGCAGCTTTGTAAGCCAACAGCTCCCCAAATCATGGTGAAAACTAGCAGCCTAGCAGCCACCAGAGGGAGAAAAACAGGGTTGTATCTCTTTCAAAGCCCTGAGTCCCAGGTGGTCATTATTTGACATGCCTGGCAAGTCACTGGAAAATCCCTCTAGAGGTCTTGTCTTTATTGGCATCACTCATAGCTTGCCCAGGGCAAACAGGCTTTGTCCTGAGGCCTTTGTCAGAAATAGTTAGCAGCTACTATATAATTCTATAGCCACCTGAGGGCAGCTGTAACCAGACAAACAAGCTGACCAAACTACTCAACTAAAAAGAAAGGCTGGGAGTAAGATGTCCATAAATGGTTTGAAAAGTTGCAACATATTCCTGAGAATCATGAAGGCCACGTGCACAACTGTGCACATACCTAGGAAAAGACCCCATACTGTCCCTAAGCGCTCACCTCTGGCTGACTTTGAGGTTCTGCACAAGCAGGAAGGTAAGGCTAAAGCCGAGTTGCAAACTGTCTGCCTGAACATTGAAGACATATCCCAACACACAGAGAAGCCCCTTAGTAAACACAGCTGAGAGATTTACTGGTTTCATACATTTAAGGACATCTCTGTCCAAACATTAGCTGACCACTAAGCTAACAGAGCAGAGATTTAAGTGGTCACACATAACAAAGAATACAGACTTCACAGAATTAGTTCAGGAAAGAATTAAACAAATAGCAACAACTACAAACCCTGAGAGATGGGAATCTTTGATTTCCATAGTTGCCACATTATATTATTTTAAATGTCCGGTTTTCAACAAAAAAATGACAAATTTCCAAAAATATTGCCCAAAAAAGATATGCAAAGAAAGAAATATGGCCATACACAGGGGAAAAAAGCAGTCAATAAGAAGCTTTCCCTGAAGAAGCTCAGACATTGAACTTGCTATGCAAAGACTATAATCAGCTGTTTTAAATATGTTCACAGTTAAAGGAAATCATATCTAGAGAATTAAAAGTATGAACACATGTCTCACCAAATAAAGGATATCTATAGAGAAAGAAATGATTAAGAAAAAGAACCAAACTGAAAGAACACTATTAAGAAAGCAAAAAGACAACCCACAGAATGGGAGAAAATATTTGCAAATCTTATCTGATAAGGAACTAGTATCTAAATATATATAAAATACAACTCAAAAATAGAAAGACAAATAATCCAATTTAAAAACAGGCAAAGGACTTGAATAGACATTTCTTCAAAGAAGATATACAAATATGAATGTCTGTTCTGGATATTTCATTTAAATGGAATTTATACTAAGTGGTCTTTTACATCTGACTTTTCTCATTTAACATAATATTTTCAAGGTTCATTTTATTTATTTTGGTTTTGGGTTTTTTGTTGTTGTTGTTGTAGGGGGCAGATAATTAGGTTTCTTTCTTTATTTTTAGAGGAGGTACTGGGGATTGAATTCAGGACCTCATGCATGTTGAGCATGTGCTCTACCACTTGAGCTGTACCCTCCCAACTCAAGGTTCATTTTATAGCACATATCAGTACGTCATTCCTTTTTGTGGCTGAATAAATTGCATTGTGTTATACCTCATTTTGTTTATCCACTCATTAGCTAATATATGTTTGAGTTATTGCCACTTACTGGCTATTATGAATAATGCTGCTATGAACTTTCTTGGGCAGGTTTTTATGTGAACATGTTTTCAGTTCTCTCAGGTAGATACCCAGGAGTAAAACTGCTGGGTCATATGGTAATTCTATGTTTAACTTTTTGAGGAACTGCCAATCTGTTTTCCATAGCAGCTGTACAATTTTACATTACCATCAGGAGTGTATGAGGGTTCCAATTTCTCTACTTGTCAGCATTCTTTCTTTTCTGTTTTTTAAATTATAGTCAGCCTAGTGGGTGTGAAGCGGTATCTTGTTGTGATTTAGATTTGCATTACCATAATGACTCAGGACTTTGAGCATTATTTCATGTGCTATTAGTCATCTGTATATTTTCTTTAGAGAAAAGTCTATTAAAACTTTTGCCCATTTTTACATTGGGTTTTTTTTCAATTGTTGTATTTTATATGCTCTGCATACTAGTTACTTATCAGATATATGATTTGCAAATGTTCTCCCATTCTGTCTTAATTTCTTGATGGTGTCCTTTGATGCACGAAAGTTTAATTCTGACGCAGTTCAATTTGTCTGTTTTTTCCTTTGATTCCTTTTGCTTTTGAGGTCTTATCTAAATATCTATTACCTAATACATGGTCACACAGATTTTCACCTGTTTTCTTCTAATAGTTTTATAGTTTTAGGTGTTAAATTTAAGTCTCTGATCCATTCTGAATTCATTTTTGTATATAGTGTGAACTACCAGACTTTGGATTCAAACTGAGTTTGAGTATACTTTATTTTGTAGTGAAATGCTCCAGAACTATATGAAACTCCCCATATTACAATCTGATTTATAGTAACTCTATTCTATAAAGTTCTATGTGCTTGAATTTTTTTGACTATTGATTTACTCTTTATTAGTTTCATGATCATTTACATTTAAATTCCATTAAGGCTTTTTTTCTTAGTTGAAGTATAGTTGATTTGCAATATTGTGTTACTTTCAGGTGTACAGCAAAGTGATTCAGTTATACATATATTTTTTCAGATCATTTTCATTATAGGTTATAATACGATATTGAATATAGTTCCCTGTGCTATACAGTAAATCCTTATAAATTACTTTATGTATAGTAATTTGTATCCACTGATCCCATACTCCTAATTTATCCCTCCCTCCCCTTTCCCCTTTGGTAACAATTAGTTTGTTTTCTATGTCTGTGAGTCTGTTTCTATTTTGTATATAGATTCATTTGTGTTTTTAGATTCCACTGGACTTATTTCACTCAGTATGATATTCTCTAAGTCCATCCATGTTGCTGCAAATGGCATTATTTCATTCTTTTTTATGGTTGAGCAATATTCTATTCTGTGTGTGAATGTATGTATGTATGTACGTACGTATGTTATGTGTGTATATATATATACACAAACACGAACATACACACACACACACACACACACACATATATTTCAATCATATCTTCTTAAACCAATTGTCTGTTGATGGACATTTGGGTTGTTTCCCTATGTGCCTGAATTTAAACGACCAGTTAAGAAGAGTTCAAACTTCTTCTGCTCTCAAATTAAAAATCTTTTATCTTTGATTTCTCCTTTTGACTGGATTCCTCTCATGTCTAACTAGTTTCCAAATCCTATTAGTTCTCTTCTGAAGTCTTTCCCTCCTCTCCCCAGCCATCCTTCCTCTCCTTTGTATTGCCACTCTCCTGGTCCAAGCACTTACCACTTCATATCTGGACTGTCACAATAGACTCTTATCTAATCTGTCTCTATCCATACTTACTCTCCACTCTTGCCAAAATAAGATTAGGTTTGTTTTTATCCTATAACAGCAATGCTCAGAAACCTTCCATGGTTTCCCAGTATTTTCAGGAAAAAAGTCCAAAATTCTAAGGATGAATTTCAAGGCTCTGGAAAACCTTTCCCCAGGGCAACTGTGCAATCTCATCTCTGTTGACCTGGTCTCTGTAAGTTGTCTTATCACCACTCTCTGAAGTATCCTGCTCAGGTCTACTTATATTCTCACAGTTGTACCCTTTCTGAATGTATTTCCTCTTCTAGTGAAATCCTAGCTACAGTTAAAAATTCTACTTACTTTAGTTTTATCTCTTTTTTGAAGTTTTCTACTCCCAGTCTAGGCCATAATGCTGTCTCCCTTTAGTCAAGAAATATTTTGAAAGTCTACTCGGGGGAGGTGGGGGTGGGGCAAAAAAAAAAGTCTACTACAGGCAAGACACTATAGGAACACAGATAAAATAACTATTCCCGACTCCCTATGAGCACTATTTATTAAGCAGTTAAAATAGACCTAACAAAGTGCTAAATACTTTATGCCTACCACCTAATTTGATCTTTACAAAAAAATTTGTGAGGTAATACAGTATCATTTTATAGATGAGAAAACTGAGGCTCAGGGAGGTTCAATAACTTTCCTGGGGCCACAGAATAATGGGGCTACCACCTTTCACTGTGAAAGCTGTGAGGTGTACAAGTTGTGTGGTTATCCATAGATAAGTCGGTGGGTTAAAACCCAGGACAGTCTGATTCCAAAGACTGTGTGCTCTTAGCTATTACATCATACTGTCTCCCCATGGATCCAGCAAGCAAGGAAATTACAATCTAACTCCAGCTGCTATCACAACCATATTTTTCAGAGCTGCAAAGTGAAATGTAATATTACCAAGACAGAATATGAGAAATTAAGATATCTGAAAAAGCCTGGGATATCACTTACTAATAAAACTATTTTTGAGACTTTTACTATTATTTCCTGAATATACATCTAACTTTACAGAAAGTAGAGTTCATGTTGGGAACAAAATATGTCCATAAAAACCTGCTGCGCTAAACACTAACTAAACAATGCTAAAAGGGAACACTAAAAATCAGAACAGTTGATCATCTTTCCTTTCTCGATTTTTCATAAAGTAAATGACAAGGCTCTACACCCCTCAGCCACTTTCTCTCCTTTCTTCCCCTAAAGGCATCCACATTCACTAGCCATTCCCCTAGCCTAGTTTTCAGTTCCTAACTCCAAACCTCCCTACCACACATCCATCACCCTCCTCCTCAGTGCTCTAAACATGGGGGAGAAAGATCCACTCAGAGTTGTAATTATTGTGTGTTCCATGTTTTCTGGTTCTGCAACTGAAATCCCCCCAATCTTTTCTCCATTTTCAGGATGTCAATTAATAATGTACAGAAAAATAAGTTTAACTACCTTCACAAAAATAGAACAATACTTAAAGGGCACTTACAATTTATATTCATCCTATAGTGTGGCTTACTGTAAAGCACTTACATTGTTATTGTGAAGATATTCAATTGCTCGAAGGATCTGGAAGAGGTATTTTCTAAGTCGCTTACTCTCTAATCCATGACAGTAATGTTGTAACTCATCTAATACTGTGTGGTCAATAAATTCAAACACCAAATGAATTTTCCTTTTCTGTCTAAAAACTTCAATCAGATTGACCAGGTTTTCATGACGAAATTGCTATTGACAAAAGAAACAAATTTTTAATAAATTCTCTCACATACCATAATTTGCACATATAACACCAATACATAATTAAAAAGAAACAAATATTCTCAGCTTCTTTTCCTCTATGCATTTCAAAAGAAATTTCTCAACTGATTTGCTTACACTCCTATTTTAAGAAAATGTTAATCAATTTCATAATTAATATTTATAGAACAAAGGGAGATGTATTGCTTTACTTCAAGTTGAAATTTGGTTTACTAAAATAATTCTGAGTAAGTGTAATGTAACGTAACTTGGTATGCTGCTAAGAGATATCTTCCTATCCTCTAAATTGGTTTGTGATTAAATTTAAAGGTACTATAACAAAAGGGTATCAAAATACCTAGGAACTTTTCAGATACGTGAAGTATCAATTTATATCCATAGGAACTTTATATAAACACACAATTATTTGTGGGTACATTTTTGTTCATTGTCTGTAACATTCCAAAGCAACCAAACACCTTTTCAGAATGGTAACATTCACTGTTAAAATAATTTCAAAATGTCAAAAATGGCATGTATTCGCTTAGAAAACAAATGGGTTTAATAGTTTATGCTGCTTATTCTATTTTGTAAAATACACTGATTTAATTACAATTAATTCTCAGATATTTAACTTGTTCAATACCAAAAATATTCACTCATTGACTAAAAATTAAGGGGTAAATTTTCAATGTTGGACTCATTAGAAAGCTAAGCTTTTGTGAAAAAAATTCTGCCTTTATTCAAATGGCAAAATATCAATTTTTCTACTCATCTATACTAATACATAGACAAAAGTCCTCAAAACACAACTGATAGAATAACATGCCAATATATAATGCCAGATTCTTTTTCTAGTTTAGCTCCCAGTTTTCCTGGTTGGCAAGATGCTAGAATGCTGCAGCAACATGATGGTAGTAGTGAAAAAAAAAAAAAAGGAACTGCTTTGGACACTACAATATTAATCCTTCAACTAAAGAAAATTACTGGTTTCCTGTCCAGCATTCATTTTAAAGGCAAAAGCATAGAAGGGTTAATGTGAGCTAATAATAAGCATTAGAGAAAATCCACTCAGGGGTAAAGGAATCAAGTACTTTCTCAGATAAACCATGGAACCCCTAGAAATGCTCCATTATCCTTTTTCAGGTTGTTTACTTTTGTTTTCCTTCATTACTAGTCAACTTTTCTACAGATATTCTCACTAATTACTCTAACTGTAATTTATTTAATGACATTCTAGCAGATAAAAATTTAGTTCAAATTAAGTCATTATGGCAGTGCTTTTAGACTAAGAATGTTAACTAATAGTACAAGATATCTTTTCTGTGGAACTAGATTTAATCAAACTAAAAATTCCACAAGACATAAAGCAATGAGAAATAAGTTAAGGCATCTCAAAATAGTTTGCATTATAGTTACAACTATATTATATTACATAGTAAAATTTCAAATTCATCTGTGTTCTTACCACATATTAGTTATTTTTACAAAATAATTAAGTAGAAAAAAAAATAATCACCTTAAGCGCAACAAAGGTAAAGAAAGAGCAAAAGATAGTGCCTGGAAAGAGATCTCCTTCTAATTAGATTTTCACTTACAGTGCACAACAGTTGCCTTATGGAATTATTATGTTTTAGGTCATCAGGATAAGGACAGGTATTTTTCACAAAATTGTAACATTTTTACTGACATTAACCTTCTTTTTTATTGTCTAGAAAGAGAGCAGTTCCAACAATCCACAGATGCCTAATATATTACTTCTACTTAGAAAGCAAATTGATCTATCTCATCTAATAGAGACTTACAAAGAAAGAAGAGAATATTACTTTTGTATCAGATAAAAATGAACAAGAAAAGTATGTTTTCTTCATCACATATAAAGCATCTAGACTATGAACCTTAAAACATCTAGATAAATTCCAATAAACAAAATACATATATACATTTAAATATTTTAAAAATCACTAGTTTTGTACATAATCCCCAAGGACTGTTAACACTCCTTTCTTTACACTCCTGAGGTCTTCCCCCTGAGTTGACCTGTCATACCTACACGAAATTCTGTCTTGTGGCCTGTTCTCTCCTGATATTGTTCCCCATCCCTAAAAGCCTACTGGTCATCTTTACTTAACTGTATTCCTGTCACCTCAAATTCAACATTTCTAAAACTGATCTAGTTCCCAAACCATGTTTCTTTTGGGTCTTTCATATTTCCATCAATGGTAGCAATCACTGAACCTCAAAGATACTTTTGACTCCCCTTCTATTTCATTCTATACTTTCATGTCTTCTTTTATAATATATTATGTTCTAACTTTACTTTCCATTCAAATTGCTGCATTCCAATAAGGGCCTTCCCATGTACCAGGATTTCTGAATTAAACTCACAACAGAACTGTTTTTACTTCCTCAGTCCTCCAATCTACTCTAAAAAAATGCTAGATTAATATTTGTAGTTTCTTTTCTCTAAATTCAAAACCTTGCACTACTCACAAAATCAAGTTTTAATGCCTTAGCCTAAAAGACAAGACTTTAAAACCTACCTCCAATTTACTTCTCTAATCTCACCTCTTTCTACTTCTGCATAGGAAACTCTACAGGCAAATGTTTCTGGTTTAGCCTCTTTGAGCTTATGCTGTTCCCCTAACCTGTCATACAATAGTTTCTCCCTCTTACCTAAATTCTACACATCATTTGAGGCTAAATTCATATTCCATTTCCTCCAAGAAAACTTCCCTACCCAACAGGACTTTCTGTTAATCACTTGGCTCTTAGTATGAGCCACTTAATACTACTCAGTATTATTTTTATATCCCTGCTTGTATTTCTGATTATGTAATAAAAGCCCTGAACATAGGTACTGTCTTATACTTCTTCATAGCCTCAGTATCTGGCACAATACCTTGCACAAAACAGACATTTTTATTAAGTATAATACCTGAATATTTCTGAATAATTATTTCATAATATTTGGCATTGCTTTTGTTAATTTCACATAAACACATATATCTTGCATCACTGTAAAATTACAAAATGTATACAGTAAGGTAACCTATCACACTTCTTTTTCTATTGCATGCCCAAATATATATGCTAACTGAAATATTCCTTATATAATTTTTTATTCCGTAACAATTTCTCTTTTGACTTGGAGCAATTAAGGCAAAAAAAGCAAACCTTTAGAAACTTTATTTCTCTCGCTGCAATTTTGTTGACAGACTTTTCTGGTTTCTCATAAAATATCTTAATGGCCACTATCTGCCCAGTATCCTTATGTTTACACTTCATGACTGTTCCATAACTTCCCTCTCCCACTTTTCCAAGGGTTTCATACATCTCCATTTTCAAGACCAGCTGCTTCTTCAGAGAAAGAAAGGAAAAAAAGATTAAACATTTATACCTTTATTTATTGAAGCTGGATAATGCATTTCCACAATAAACCCATACTTTAAAACATGGAAACAGAAAAACCAGGAGTCTTTTCTACAGACCCTTTGGGCACTCTGCCAGTTCGGCAGTAAGGTGCCCTTGTGGGCCTTCAGCCCTCACCGGAACTTGGGGCGCTTCCCGCTGTCTCGACCATTGCCACCAAAATTTAAGATTCCCTCACCACAAGTCATCTATTCATCATGGGTGGGGTCCCCACACGTCCTGTCATGCCCCCGTCGGCTATGAGGTTCCCGCAAAGTTGTAGTCGCCAACATATCAGGCCCTAGGACCCAAGAAAACCTCGGTTTCGCCTGCTCCTCAAAACAGACGTCTTAGGGTCCCGGACCAGTGCCGCGCCCCTCGCCC